GGTGACAGTGAGAAACAAGCGAAATGAAAGAGAGAGGGGGTGACAGTGAGAAACAAGCGAGATGAAAGAGAGAGGGGGTGACAGTGAGAAACAAGCGAGATGAGAGAGAGCAGGGGGTGACAGTGAGAAACAAGCAAGATGAGAGAGGGGGGGGTGACAGTGAGAAACAAGCGAGATGAGAGAGAAGGGGGGGTGACAGTGACAAACAAGCAAGATGAGAGAGCAGGGGGTGACAGTGAGAAACAAGCAAGATGAAAGAGAAGGGGGAAAGGGGTGACAGTGAGAAACAAGCGAGATGAGAGGGTGAGAGATAGAGAAAGATAGAGAGGGTGATAGATGAGTGTGAGAGAGAAATGGAGAGGGTGAGATATGAGTGAGAGATAGAGAGGGATAGAGAGGGTGATAGATGAGTGTGAGAGAGAAATGGAGAGGGTGAGATATGAGTGAGAGATAGAGAGGGATGGAGAGGGTGATAGATGAGTGAGAGAGAAATGGAGAGGGTGAGATATGAGTGAGAGATAGAGAGGGATAGAGAGGGTGAGAGACGAGTGAGCGAAAGAAACGGAGAGGGCGAGATATGAGTGAGATAGAGAAATGGAGAGGGTGACAGATGGAGGGGGCGAGAGGGAAAGTAGAAGCAGTGCTATATATGTAATAAATCGCTTATAATAAATAACGAAGCATTGTTTAAATTCTTGTTTAGTAGTTAGTTACCCTTGTTAATTATTTGACATACCTATGAAGCAATACCATTAACACGGAAAAATAAAAAATGTTAAAAATGCTATTCACCAATCTGTTAACTACACATTTAATAAATATATGCTTCAGGCATACTTGTGGAATAAGTTCTGTTGTGGCCTTATGCTCCACTGGGAGTGAAGAGGAGAATTAAGTAAGTAATACTTGTCAGAAGGTCATTGTTGTATAGTACGTTAAAACAAATAATTTATGGATCTTCAGGCATGTACACCTAATGTCGTTGTTGTATAAACACATCACACAACTCAGAGTAGATAACTAGCAGATAAACCAGCAGTGGTAGCCGATAAGGTGTGTAACATATCAATATTTGTCAATAGGGGTAATGACAGTAAACGCAACTGACCTCTGCTAGTTGCTTGAGTTCCTTCGTTGCCTGACACATTCCTATGTCTGCGCACGCAGTTTTGGGGTCCTGGCAAACACAGCAAGGCAACAGTGAGAGTGTCATTAACACTGTGGTGACAAGGTGTACAACAGAGGTTCACCAGGTACATATAAGTATAATACTATATATACAGAGACTCCCCGACTTACGAACCTTCTAGTTACAAACTTTCGATGATACAAACAATTTGCCCTGAAGTCCATTCGTGTATATAATGTCAATATTGGTGAATAAAAAGACACAATCGCCCCTCTGATTTTGACTTTCGCAAACTCCTGTGTTCACGTATATGTTTACACTCTGTACACTTCTAGGTTACTCGATGTTCACACGTACATATGCTACACTACCGGACAATACTGTATACGTACGTACATATGTTCGAATCACGAACGACTGCTCGAAACCGAACTTGTTCGTAAGTCGGGGAGTCTCTGTATACATATTTGTCACAGTCACGCAGGAGTCTCGTAAACGCATAATATAAGTAAGATGCAGTAAACAACTCGTATCTTGACAAATAAATCATTGCTCGCAGTACATAGACACACAAACACGGGCACCCAGGCACATTCACACGCACACTAACTTCCACTAACTACGCTCACTCGCACACACACTCACTTATGCACACACACACACAAGCACATGCACACACTGACTTGCAAATGCACACAATGCATTCACACACTGACTCACACATTGACTCACACACACACACACTCACTCATACACACACACACGCACGTACACATTCACACACTAACACGCACGCACATACACACATACACTGACTCGGCGCACACTCCCTCATGCACACACACACAGAAACCAACTCACACATGCACACCAAAACTCGCACACAAGGACTCGCACATGCACAAGTGATATACTCATGCACGCACACACTCACGCACTAGCACACACTCACTAACAGGCACACACTGACTCGCGCATGCACACGCACTCATGCATGCGCACACTCACTCACACATGCGCACACTCCCTCACACACACACACACACACGCGCACACGCACACACGCACACACGCACACACACACACACACACACACACA